GTCACCTGGGAGCCCGAGGGCCCCTCCCTCCCTGCAGGTCGCGGCCCAGCCCAGCTGGGTCAGCCCTGTGAGCGGGGCCAGTCCTCCTCTCTGGAAACGTACTGAATACAGACTGCGACAATGCATTTAAAAGCATCGATGGAGCCCTATGTGCCCGCACTTCCAGGCCAGGGTCCCTGCCTCGGGGAGCAGTCCACACCCACTGCCCCAGAACCTCCGGGGTGCCGCCCTTTCTGCACCCATGCTGTGCATTATGGCAACCTCGGGCCACACGGGGGCTGAGCAGTGACACGGCCGCTGTGACCGCAGAACCGAACGCTGACTCTCATTTTGTTTCCCATTTGAAAAGCCCCCTAAAGCCCGTGGCCACCGTATTGGACAGGACGGGGTAATAGAGGAGTGGCACCCTCGCACACAGACTGTAACGGGGTGGGGTGGGGTGCTGTGCAGGGAGAAAGCGGCCTCAGTGGGCAGGGAGTGGACGTGCTCGGGGAGGCCCTTCTGAGGAAGCACCTTGTGAGGTGAGATGTGAACGGAGCGCGAGGCGAGCCAGGAGGGCTCTGGGCGAAGGACATTCTGGGCAGAGGGCAGAGCAGGTGCAAAGGTCCTGGGGTGCGTTAGGGAGGCCTATGTGGCTGGTGTGGAGGTCCCAGGACATGAGGAGACGGGGACAGAGGGGGATACGTGGCAGAGGGGCTGTTTCCCACCCCCTCGTCTCTTCCCTCCTAGCCTGCTCCGGCTGAGCCCGCCCTGCATGGACAGACTCTCCTCCTGCTCTGTGGCTGCCCTTCGGGGCAGAGCACCGACGCCTCCCTCCTCCCCGAGGAGCTGGCCTGGATCTCCACGCAGAGGCCAGCAGCCGCCCCAGCCCAGGAGTCCCTCCTCCTGGTGCAGACGTCCGTGCTCCCTCCCTGGGGGCCCGCCGGTGGCCCCGCTGCCCTGCTGCTCCAGGCGGTGTTTCCAGAAGAGCCCCAAATCCAACAGGGGCTGGACGTCGGGCCCCTGCCTGCTCCCCGAGCCATGGACCACCTCCCAACAAGGAGCCACGGTGCCCCCCTCTGCTGGGAGACCCCACAGATTTCTCACCACTGCTTTCCTGGGACAGGGACAGGGACAGGCCATCTGAGCGGCCCTGGGGAGGAGCGGGGAGGAGCCCCAGAGTGGAGAGTGGAGGCGTGGGGGACGAGGAGGACGCGGGGCAGGAAGGAGGAGGACCTCGGGGACAGGTGCCGGCAGCGGCAGGGAAGCCAGGAGGACCCCAGCTTGGAGGACGGTGCTGGCACCCTAGGAGGCCTGCAGGACACACGCGGGGCTTCCGGACCCCAGGCCGCCGCCTCCTGCCCTCGGCCCAGGCGGGACCTCCCTGTGCCTCTTCCACAGGGGGAGGCCTCCCTGTCCACGGAGGGTCCCTCGTCCCTGGGTAGGAGAGGGCGGGC